CGCATTTTCGTAAATCAAAAAGATTCTCGTTTAAATGCTTCCCTATATATATATATATATATATATATATATATATATATATATATATATATATTTCCAAAGACTGCTACTTGATCTGGTCAATTGGTTTAATAAGTTCCGACACTTTAAGCACAACTTATCCTATGCTTTTAGTCGGTGTCTAAAAGGCTAATATTTGTCATGCGACACCGCGTTTCAAGACTTGTTTGCGAGGATGCATTAGACACGTGGCTCGTCATGATTCCATGCACAATATATGGAAGGTATTATTTGGGTTTTTGTAATAATCTTTTTTATGAATTATTTTTTAGTATATAATTTAATTTAAATTATTCAATATTATTGACTAATTGAATAGTAATAGAAATATGTGTTGATATATGTAATTATATATATATGCGCTCTCATAAGTCATTCCTTGGAAAATGCTATGGTATTATCGTGGCTTTTAAATCTTGAGTTTAATCTCACTGTCGTGTAACATTTTACGCTATTTGCAAACTTGTTTTCCGTTAACAGATAATACATGCAAATCCCTAATTTTTTAATTACCTTGAAAACAACCTACCCTCAAATACCAATACATGATTATTAACGACGTTCGTCTAATATTTTCATAATACAATTAACCTAAAAGTTATTGACACCAAGATCCTACGGTACAATAAAATACACAATATAGCATATATGTGTATATTGTTACCAATTTCTTCTTAACCTCATAACTTGAAGTGTATGGTCGAACATTTTATTCATTGTACTAAGGTTTAACTTTGCCGAACTAAAAGCATGACACGTTAAAATAACTAAAATGCAACTTATCTATTATATCAAGGTCAAAGAAGTCATTTCCAAAAGTTTTAGAACCAAAATGTAATAAATTTGTCATTCAAGGGCTAGAATGTCATTTCTAAAAGTTTTACCACATTATTGGAACTATTTTATTTAAATTTGAAGGCCCAAGGCAAAGTATCAAAAATTTCTGAAATTAATGTAGATCATATTTGAAATGACTAAATCGGGTCCGACCCTTCTTGGGACCGATAACCATTGGTTATGATTCGATAGTTTAGGACCAGTTACAAATTTTATAGAATTTTTAATTTCTGATGTAGGACGGTGGTTATGTATATAACTGAATTTTTGAAAAAAATTATGTTTTTATTAACTATAATACAAGATTTTCAAAAAAATTCAAGTAATGCAATTTTAAAGTGTATTTCAATATTTAATTTCAAAAATCTTAACTAAAAAAATTAACAATGTTTTTGTGTAAAAGAATTTAGTAAAAGTACTGTTTAAACCAGTTACTGGGCCTAAGATGGATCCTAGGATTTTTGGTGAGACTGGGACAGACTGACCCGATTTTTCACCGTCTCTGGTCAATCAAATTAGTTGATGAGTTAATTCGATATTATTATTTAACCATGTCGATTTTAATTTGATCAGCCAATCAATGAACGATGGATGTTTATATTTATAAGATATTTTTGTTAACTTGAAAAAATAGGATGCTTATATTTACAATCAATGGTTTTTTTAATCAAGTTGTATTGATAGATGTGGCCCATGAAAAATACATGTTATTACCATCTGACTTTATCCACATGTCTTTTGGTTTATCAATATGGATCATACCAGTTGCATTATTTTGACGTCTACATCATGGAATATATATATATATATATATGTTTTGTTTGGTATGATGGATAATCATGGAAGGTGTCAAATAATGATGAGTTGGGTCAAATTGAAAAGATCTGATGCTTCACCACCCCTTTTCCACCACTAACAAATCAAAGTATGGTTACAACCCGTTATACGAGTCGACTAATCTTAGAACGATATTTTTAAGTCAAAAGATCCAGGTTTCTGACATAATACATCCAGTAAAGTCAGTTCTTGGTTCAGTTTGATCACGTTCAATATTGAAGCAAAACTAGGTTTATTTTCTAAAATTATATATTTTTCTAGTTAAAACAAAACCATATATGTTCTCGGTTCATAATCCGGTTTAGTACCGAACTAGAGATGCTTAAAGACCGGCCTTTTCAAACCTATACTCGGGCCTTCAAAATTTATTTTCATTAAGCAAAAAGAAATGGAGTTGGGGATTTTCGAACTCAGATCCAGGCTTTTGTTGTGAAGCTTTTTGGATCCGAGCTTTTTCAGTCTTTTGAAAAATAACATGGTCGAACGGGTTTTCATGCCTCGCTTGGACTTGTGCGTCCGGTTTTTTATGCACTCTAGACCAAACCGGTTCTACAAATTGAATTTTTTTATTGGGCCCAATTTGGGCCAGGTTGGGTAGAGTAAGACCATTGATGATTGGTTCTCAAAATGCCCATTAGAATTTCAAATTTTAAAATTTTAAAAAAATCTCATTTTTTCCTTAAAAAAAAGGTCTGCGACAAAGTTTAACAATAAAAATCGGGTTCAAATCATTCACTGAATTTAAAAGGAAAATAATAGATTGTACACGGAAAGAAATACGTAACTGAGACTTGACATAAGAAAACTTTCCTTCCTGTTGCAATCATTGGACTTGAAATTTGTCAAATACGAGTCATCTATCGTTTAAAATCCAGTTCACAGGTGGAGGAAACCATGAATACCTACAAAGCAAATCTACCTATTCGTGAATGGTGTAATCTTGATAACAAGCCCAGGAAAAACGTCATCTGGATCATGAATATGCGGGTTTTCTTCAACAATATAAGGATCCCCACACTTTTCGCTGATAGTATGCAACGTCTCTCCTTCACGAACCACATAAATCTCGTCACATGGCCTATAACTCATGTCGTTAGTCCGAACCTGTATCACCATTCTTTCGTTTTCAGTAACAAATGACTCGCAACAGCTCAAAACCAACATCACCGCCAAGAACAATGAACAGTACCCTGAGAGCGTTTCAGTCAATGTCGTTGATGAATGAAGTCGAGCCATAACGATATAAGAGTTTTCAGTATTATGGGGGGTTTTAAAGGTGGGCTTTTTGGGTTGATTAGGAGAGAGGTTGGTTGTTGGAGTTGGTGTGATGGGAGAATATAGGGGTGGAAGTTGAAATGGTTGCTTTCAATGGGGGCAGATAAGTGTCAATTCTATAAAAACAAGAAAAAGAAGGGGTCAAATAGTAATTGAGCTCAAAAGTTGGTTTAACTGCTTCATCCAATGGTTGGATGACTCCTTGTAGTTATTGGTGTTGTTGGTCAACTGCAAAATCAAACAAAGTCAAAACATTTGTTGTGCTACAAGAATTGTTTTAACATTTTTTATATTTTAAGTCTATTTAAATTATTTATTTCCTTGCAAATTGAAATAATTAATTTTAATTTTGGTTTATAAGTTTTATTTGTTTTGTAGGCATTTTAAGCATTTAATTAGTTATGGAATATTATTATATTTATTAATTTAAGGCAGATAAAATATGAATTTTAATAAATAAATCCATTGAAGGTACGAACAAGAACTTGTTATTTAGTTAAAATATGTTTTAAGTATTATTTTTACAACCAACCTGTTATAGCCGTCGGATGGGTATATCAACTGCTAAGATGCATTAATTATGTGATCAAAGCATTCTTGATCTTGATGGTTGAACAAATTGATTGAATACTAGACTATACTATTGTAGTATTCTTAAATTAATAGTTTAAATTTTAGAGAAGCTTTTACACCCAAAATTTGGGATAAATCTGACCGAAAATCATACATTTTGACTTTTTGAAGATATCATACTGAACTCATAGTTGATTTGACCTGTAGTTTGAAAAGGATTTGATGATCACATCAAATAATAATACCAAATGTTGTGGGGTGAAATTTCCTAAGTGGTTGATATCAACTTTTGGGAATATTAAGTCATATATCTGACTGTAAACGTCAAACCAAACATTTTTGTTTCGATTATCATCCAAGAATCAATATAATTGAAAAAACAAATTATTTTAATACATTTTCCCTCTTGTAATACAAGGTTTGGTCTGGTGCATAGTCTAATAATAGTGTTTATACATCGACCAAATGTTTAAAATACCACTTAATAGTGGTAAAGTAAAGTTGTTAAAATGTTCATAATGAAAAGACGCAGTTTTAGAAATGTGTAATTAGCATGCTTCTCAATTAAAATTAAAAAAAATACAATTTTACCTTAAATTATTGAGAGAGAAAATATTTGTCATCTTATAATTAAAAATAGAACAGGAAAATAGACATTTACTTCTTAAAGTACACATTTATTTTGGAACAAATTAAAATAATAATGTACACACTTATTTTAATATGAATGAAGTATTAATATCAAGTATTGATTACTAAATTACAAAAAAACCAAAGTCAATCTCGATTCCTACATCAAAAAAAATATTTTACAATGATTTAAATAAAGAAAAAAAGTATTCCATATTTTTTTCTAAGACCAACATGGAAGAACAAATAATAATAACAATAACCATAATAATGAGAATAATATAATCAAACAAGGTTAAAAATAGAAAATTTTGAGGTATTTTTTTTAATTAATAAAACAGGCATACAAATGCAATTGCGTAAGAGAGGGTTGGGTTTCGATGAGAATGAGAGTTAAAGTGAAAAGTGTAAGAAAATATCTCTATCCTTGAATGCATATTAGATCGGGATGCACTAGATCAATCCCTGTATCAAGCCAGATTCATGGGTGAGTTTGAGATTAAAGGTGATCAAGGGTCCGGATCCGTTCTTACGTTGTTCTCCTTAACTCTTGTTCTCACTCGATCCTTGGCCGTGTAAGACTTATATGTACATACATATATATATATATATACATATATACATACATATATATATATATATACATATATACATATATATATATATATATATATATAGGGTTAGGTTCTTGTGGGAAAAAAGTTATGATAAAAATTGTAAGAAGAGATCATCTTTGGATCAATCATAATTAAATGTCAATACTAATGAGGTGCACCAGATCAATTCTCTTCTAAAACGCAATGAGATTAAAAATGATCAATTCAAATCTCTTCTTACATTTTTCATCATAACTTCTCTTCTCACATAATCCTTGCCTATACATACATACAAATATGTAGACACACACACACACACACACACACACACATATATATATATATATATATAGGGTTGGGTTCACATGAGACCAACTTATATATATATATATATATATATATATATATATATATATAGGGTTGGGTTCACATGAGATCAACTTGTTTTATTGAGACCCGTGAAACCACAATTTTACACTTGAAACTTCACAGCAAAATGTTGTGAAGGTAAAAGATTTTCGAACCTTCACAACATTTTTGTTGGGAAAGTTACCTTCATAGCCTTTTACTATAAAGTTTCAAATGTAAAAAGATGGTCTCACATGTTTCTTAAAAACAAGCTAGTCTCACATGATCTCAACAACCTTTATTTATCTATTTTATCGTTATGATAGAAATTTTAACAAATTCCTGCAATGTAGGTTTAGTTTTGAATGCTTTGGAGCCTAATCTCCCGCATTATCAATGTTTTAGACGAGGGTAGGGTTATGTGTTTTGAGAGTTGAAAGGTGCGTTCCAATGGATAGGTAGCTATCAAAGCGGTAAGGGTTAGCGAGCCAAAAAACTATATTAATTGTAGGTACTGAAAATAATTGAAAGAAATTAAGTTAGAATAAAAAGTCAACTCATCTAAATGCTCAAAAATGTTCTCACCATAACTCATTCTCAGACGACCTCGTCTATATATCACAATGTTCTACTGTGAAGTTTCAGGGTTATTTTGTAATATCACGGGTCTCATGAAAACAGTAGATCTCAAGTCTCTCTCTCTCTCTCTCTCTCTCTCTCTCTATATATATATATATATATATATATATATGTTAAAGTTGAAGATCAAAACTTACAGCACAATGAAATAAAACACAGAGATGGAAGTAAACCTCTAAACCAAATATACAATAAGAAATTACCTAAAACAATTAATTTAAATGCATATAACCAACAATCGTGTAAAATCTCTGAATCAAACACATCATTGTTGATATGATGAAATACGGGTTAACTAAAAGAGATCAGACACTGATTTTTAACATCTTATGTTCCTAAATCAGTTGAGACTTCAGACCATGTTCTGTGGCTGCAAGAAACCCCAAATTCAGACAATGGAACTTGTCAATTCTAAAAACATCTATGATAAAATAAACTCTCAACATTTGTACATTTTTAACTGGCAGATGCTAGCATTTTCTATGAAATCTACAAGTGATCATTTATGTAGCATCGCGAACCTTTGGGTTTGGGGAACCAATAACGACACCAGGTGCCTTTGCTGGATGACCTTTAGCGCCACCACCAGCCTGTCCACCCGAACTCTTTGTATTTGATGTCTCAGCAGCACTAATCGACTTCTTTATCTGCAATGTAACAATCAACAACTTCAATTACTTTCGTTGAATCAAATACTTGCAAAACCATGGAAGAAGCTTTAGCAAAGGATACATACTGCAGCCACTCGCTCTCGGTGAACATCATTAACAAACTGAAACCCACCATGCACAAATGTCAAAATCAACAACTAAATGTACCTTTAAGAAAAATTGCTAAAAAATAATATTTATTTATTTTTGCATATCAATAATCTTACTGGTTTCTTGTAGCACTTGATCTCATCTCCACCGAACCCAGGAAGACTCATGTTCCAGTTTCTTTCTGAAACAACCACCCATTAAACTCATAGTCAATATCAAGTTCTACAAGAAGTAAACCAACATATATTAAATTCTTTAGTTCTAACCCAGATGCAGAAGAATGTCCTTGGACTCCAGCGTATTTGATTTACGATGCTTGGCCAAAGAGCAAGCAAAGGTTGTGACCTGGACCAAGTAAACGATGCAACTAATAAAAAACATGGAAGATTAAAAAAATAGAGGATAATATAACCAGAAGCTAATGGAAGTAATGCCCAATGAGATAACTTAGCAGCCATGTCTGTAATTAAATCTTGAAAACAACCCCAATTATAGGCTATTATTAGTTAGGTTATTAAAAAAAAAACATCCAGCTTATAGATCACGACTTCTATGAGCAATATCACTTCTACTGCTATCAAGTTTCGAATGCTTCTTAAATCTTATCAAGAGGCAGTTCAGAGCATATCGATGATGATGTCTTGGGATCTAAAATAGAAGTTATTATTTATCAAGATGAAATAAGTTTAAATTAGAGTTTCATTTCTGTTTATCTGTCCAGGCTACAGGCTCGCTTGATGTACAATGAATTCAGGGCCTCCATCAAGGGGATCCATCCAAACCACAATCTAAGATGTTGATCTACCTTAATTTTGAATGGTTTACATTTTATCAACCTCAAAACTAGAACATACTAAGACAATATAAAGACATATATACTTTATACAACTGAAACCCAAACTAACTAAGAGACCAATTGACTGAAAAACTAACCCACCTTTGAGAAAATAATTTGAATCTAAATACAACCCGAGACCAAAACCCATTGAATTTATCTTATTTTAATATTTAACTGCTCCAACCCACTGTCCCAGCTGAGGAGTTTTCCACATGTAACAGTAGAAAATCATTGAAACCTAAGAATTCACATTACAATGTCTCAAGATGGAACCTACATGAAAGGAAGTTACCTAGCAAAGAGAACATGTTGAAGGGATTTTTAGTTAGCATGAGACCTTTCTTTGAGTTTTCGCTCCACCTATGATTGTCAATTTTTAAATAGCATACTAGATATATGGATACAACCTAAAAAGTATGATTGGCACTGCTTTAATGGACGAAAGCAAAGGTAACTCAATTCAGGTAGCATATATCAAGTAGTTCATTTTAGAACCTACTGTAGTCATCAAACATTATCAACAAATGGTCTCAAAGAAAGCAAGTGTGTAGGAACTCAAGAGAATGACTTGACAGAAGTTCAATCTAACAGGAACTATCCATTGCAATCAATTTACTTCCTTGGCAAGTGGTGATAAAGCTTGCCAGCCTTTTATATATTTATAAATAAGAATGAGACTCTTGGTCAAACAACAAATAATCTACTTTAAAAATGATCCATGGATGACTAGGGGTGCCTGGGCATGCACATCCAGTGTCTAAGCACAGCCAGTGACTACCCAAGCATGAGCCTTGTGTTGTATATAATAGATACCAATTCACCAAATAATACAAGTAAAGCTACTACTTTAATGAACTTTATGCGCAATAAGAATAAATTACCAAATAAATGATATGCACATTGTTGATTATTTCAACTCAAAATATAGGGAAAATGGAACTCACAGATTCAACAAACTCGTCAGCAATATCAACAAGAATGTCTTCCACTTCAGGATCCAATCGTTCAGCTGGATCAATCTATTCATGACAGGTAGCCAAGGAGAATAGTCAACAGTTTGCAAAGTTATACATGAAACTGCATATTAATTATTATAAAAAAAATTATTTTCATAAGCATAACAAGGTAGACAGTATCCCAACAACCTGTGGACCATAAAAACCAAGCTAAAATATATGTGGGTTTTCACTTTTCATATGTAATTTCCTTCAAACATTTAGATAGACCTTTTGACTGGGGGATACTAAGATGGAATAGGCCTTCCAGATCCTCAATGCCCCTACTATATGATGAAAGGCTATTCCTCCTCAAACAAATGGATCAAAAATTTCCCCAGCTCATGCCATCTTCGAAGGAACTTTATTCATTAAAGAGAATAAGTAAACGTTGTTATAACAAATGGCAATAAATGAAAATGAAATTAAGAGAAAGCAATTGCACATAGAGATTTAGGTGGAAACCTTGTATAAAAAAAACCATGGAAGGGGGGATTTAGCTTTCTTTGAAGTGCAATGTCATGTTTGCTTCTTCTTTCTTTATTTATAATAGAGTTCATTCAAACAAATAAAGCATCACTTGTTATGTAAATAAAATATATTTGACATTTAAAAAATAGATATATACTCACAGCAATCAACCATTCACATAAGTGAGTCAGTTCCTGAAAATTAGTATCAACTTGGGCTAAAAACCCAAAATACTACCTAAGTCTCTGATGGTGAGCAAGAGCTTTTACACTGTGAATGGTTATATGTACGTAATGCTGAATGCACAATAGCATTTCATATGAAAGAGGACAGAATGCTTACCTGAGCAACTATCTCTTGAATGCTTCTTTTGCTTATGATCCTGTTACAAGACTCGCTAGCCTCCACAACAGCAGGTGTTCTGTTAAATGCAGGTGGTGGTGCAACTGAGCTAGGTTGTCCAAGAGCAGGAGCGAATGGTCTTTGGTTCCCCAATCCACGATTTCTTGCCAACTGTTGTTGATGGGTCAAAGTTTGTGGAACCCTTGATGGTGGTAATGAGTAATGCTCTTGTGGCTGCTGCGACAATGAAGATGACTGTGACTGCAAGGACGAGGACGTTTGAGGTTGCTGTGTGGGTGTTGACATGGTACTTTGCTGTTGAGATGGTATGTGGGATCTCTGCTGCAATGATTGAGAGCTCATTTGTGGTCTGAATGATGGAGGTGGCAGGGGAGGCTTCCCTTGTGACCCAGAGGACAGCCATGGCTGATTATGAGGCTGTGAGCTTTGTGGTGTACTAGGTGCTGGTGAGCCTGGAGATCCCACTGATGGAAGTCTTAAAAGGCCATGCTCTTGGAAATTCTGCAGAGAAGAGTATATGTCATATCATAATTTACTAAGCAGTTCCTAACTGCAAGCACTCCATACAAAATAGAAAACCATAAGCTAAATATTCATGCCACAAAAATAGAACACAAGGTCACCTAATTTATGTCAAGTAAAAGACAATCTTGCTTATAATATCAACTATTTTCATTCTGTTGGCTAAAAAGATGATATAGTTACATGTTTGATGGCCTTACAAAGCTTTTGTGATTCTTGTGCACAATTAAAATGGAGTCATCTAGTTACTATAGCGAGTTCATCTAATACTATCTACATGGTTATTTTCAAAATCATGTAACTAATGACAAGTTATTCACTGATATTATTTCAAAATTTACATAAAACATAAGTTATTAGTGATGCTTCATTGAAAGTAAAAGTTAATCAACATGACCAATTTGAGTAATACAGTAATCTTGTTTCGAAAAGACTGCTAAGCATATGCAACAAAATTGATTGAATCATTAACTAATATCGTTAAAAATTAATAAAAAAAATATGAACTCGAAATGTAAATTGTTAAACCACTATATATAAGAACAATAAACAGGAGCCACGGATACATGTGTGAACAATTGAAGGAGCATCTCAAATCTCAATGACTATTTGAAGGAATTAACAGTGAAATCATATCAGTTATGATGCCAAAAAATAAAGAGAACTCACTAAGCACACAACTAAGACAGGTGAAGCAAATTCCTCTCTCTATCTCTCTCTCTCTCTCTCTCTTCTATCCTCTTCTTTCTCTCTTCTACTCTCTTCAACTAGGGTTTATCTTGGATTGGATTTATAACCAGGCTTCGACTGCTTTGAGTTAATACTCAGACGAACCATTTGCCATCTTTCACGTCTAATAATTAGTAGATCTGAAGCCAAGCTAGTAGGATTTCCAGGCCACAACAGAGACAATCGAAGCAAGTTCCTCTCTCTCTTCTCCTCTTCCTCTTTCTCTCTCTTCCGCATTTTTCAATTCGGGGGCTCCTTTAGATTGAATTTTTTTACACCATGTTGCATTCACTTTGAGTTAATACACACATGGAACATGTGGGCTACTACATCCTATTAAAGTTCCACTCGTAAATAATAAATATGATACATAAAAATAATGATTCATTTGGTTGACATGAACTAAATGTTGTTGGAATGAAATGCATTATTAATGAACCATGTGATGTAATCGACCACAATTGAAAGCCTTTGTTTGTGCGGTTTCGTTTTTTTACTTTTTACGACTTCATAATGGAGCAAGCCCAACTTTTAAAAAGGGCCTTCTACCCTTATAATTGCCATCTTCTTCATGAACCAAATCAACAAAAATAGCTACTCCATCTGGCCCAAAAGACTATAAATCTAGTACATTTCAAATGCATATACATATTGCAGATGGTCGCGGCATTCCTACAGTGTAAGGCATAACCATTTTGAAGGTAAAGCCCTTCCATGTAAGATGGTGGAGCATGAAAAAACTGCACATGCCATGAAGCCAAAGTGCACAGGCATGGAAAATTTGGCAACAAACAAAGCCGCATTTGGTATGCCACACAAATTCAAGGTTCAAACTTAGTTTAGTGATACCAAGTCTAAGCTATTTGGTATTCCAATTACGTTTAAAATGAGTGCATAATTCCATATATTTGAACAAATACAATTATAAAAGAATAAACAACATCAAAGAAAAATAAAACAAGGCCTAATCCTAAGTTTGTAATGTCCTTTTCCACACGAGCAAATCTTATTGCCTATTTCTAGTGACAAGTCTTCAGCCTATGCTCCACTTCTTTTCAATCAACGTCTCATATAGCTCAAGCGTCTCCTTTTGCATATTTTCATGATTCTCTTCAAATATATATAAAATATTTTGTGGAGTGAACAACTTTCTCTTATCGTGAGTTTTCCTTCTCAGCTAGATATTTATGAAAGTGTTACTTTCCATTTCAGTTTGCTTTAACCCAAAACTAATAAAATGGGCCATATTTTTCTTTTTTAGCTTAGTCAATATTTTGTAATTTTTTTGTGTTAAAGTACTAGCTAAAGATTTTTTAAACTTGGTTGTCACTTTAAAAAATAGATTTGCAACAATGTACTTCCGTCCTTTGATTATTTTCATTTAGAAAAATGCACATGTTGTGCATCAGCCATCAATAATGCTTTGTGGCTAAGTTTTGAGTTAACACCACATCAAGGAAACTATGACATATATAACTATGTCTGTATCATATATATATATATATACACACACACACATATATATTTGAAAGGTTGAAGGGGTCTAAATACATATCGAGTACTAGTCATGTATTGATTAACATTTAATCAATGAGATTTTGGTCACAACTTCTCCGTTAGCCACTCCAAAACCTTTATCAAAATTGAGGGTCAGCTCAACCAGCAAATAAAGGTTGGGCTTTGGTCTCTTCCCTATAAGGTCTAGTTCGAGTCTCCATAGAGCCACTGGGGATTTTCTTGACTGTTATCTTTAGGGGCCCATGAAATTAGTCTAGGTGCACACAAGTTGGCCCGGACACCCAAAGACATGGATTCCCAAGTGAATGCCCCGTTCCATCCCTAAGGATTAACCAAACATGTTTCTTTCATTCTGATCTCAACATGTATTCTACCCCCATCCTCATTAAAGTGTACCAAGTAGAACATCAAAGAAACAAATGAAGTTTCAATCTTCTTACAAATGCTAGGATAATAATAGTGAAAACTATACTCTCATGCTCTCCAAGCTTTACTTTGCCAATTGCCAACAAATTTAGACCTCATTACCAATCTAGTGCTCCACTACGAGTCATGGTGATATCATGTGGCATTAGAATTTGATATTTAACAAGAGAGATAAAAGTACTGACTTGTGCAGCTGCTGACTGATTGTTAGCACCTGTTTGTGGTCTAAGAGAAGACTGGAGAGGTCTCTGTGGATGGGATGCAGCAACCCCACTTGGCCGCAAAGCAGAACTGGAACCAAGAGATCCCATCATTCCGGATATTGATTGCCTCACCTGTACATTTTAAATATAAAAACCAGCAAAAAGAGTTTAGCATAAATAATATATGGCCTTCTAGACACATATACTTGATCCACATACATCAACCAAAATTACACATTTCTTCCACTAGCATAGCCCTCAATGGGCTCAACTAGCATTAGATGTGCTAGTTCCCATAGGAACATTTTAAAGGCGGAAACGACTCACTTTCCGTTTCAGCCTCTTTTCAAATATACCATTCGTTCTACAGGTAGAGTTCAATATCCAAAATATGTTAAGGCAAGATGTAGGTAACTAAACCAAACCAAACCAAACACACTCGGTATATCCCACTCGAAAAMAGGGTCTAGGGATATGATGTGCGCATACCTTTCCTCTATGTCTCTACCCCTGGCTTGCAAAAATAGTTTTGTAGATACAAGCTCTGTCAAAAAGTTCTCTTTTTAAAGTCACGTGGATTTTGAAAAGACATATGAGGGCACAAGGCATAGGAGAAAGGCACTAGAAAAAGAGTGTGCAGGCAAGCAAATATGTATGTAAATGTCAATAATAAATTTCACATTGTGGCATTTAGCATTGGTGAGACTCTTCATCTGCAATTCTTGAGTGGTCGATTCTAATTGCAAAAGCCAAAAGAGTAACAAAAGCAAAAAAAAAAAAAATCATACATGTACATGTATTCAAGATCAAATTTAATTTGTTATTTAATCAATATCACTTTCCACTTCATGGCAGCTACAACTAAATGGATGAAGTGGTAACTTAACTTTCATGCCTTCTTAATTGCATACCTTCAACAACAAATAAGAATTATCCATCACATTCATATACTCTTATAATCTTATCAATGAGATAATCACTTTTGTTCAAGTTCGATTTTCACTAAATTACTAACATAAATATCAATCTCAGAAAAACAATTTAACGAGTTTGATGATAACTGAAGACAAAATATATGATTGATATGACTTTAGGACTCATATAAGAGTGTGATTGATATATCTTTTTTGTTGAGGTATGCAACACAAAAAGAAAACAATTATGGTTGAACATAAAAAAGCCTAAGCTTTGTTTCTTGGACCAGAGCATTACATAGTGAGACAATGTGAACATAAATGAAAATATATATATACATACATACATAGATATATATATATATATATATATATATATATATATCACACCTGGGCAGTACTGGTACTGGATGCAGATTCGGGGACACTAACACTACCAGTACGACCTAATCCACCAAACTGCGAACCAAACGAAGGTGTCAATGACGAAAACGAAGTGGGCGGCTGCGGCGAAGGAGCATGTGCAGGAACTCCAATGGCCATTCCACCCCTTTGTGTCGGTGGGATGGAAGTTAAAGAAGAAGAAGAAGGAGAAGAAGAAGGGGCGGTGGAGTGATTGGTTATCGAAGAAAAGTGAGGGAAAGGAGGAGTGTTTTGTTGCCAGGGGCGGTTAAATGGAGTTCTCAACATTGGATTTAGGGATTGAGGTTGTATTGGCTGTGATACTGGAGGGTTTGGGTGTTTAGGGTTAGGGTTTACGGAAGGAGGAAGAGGTTGTAATGATGATGTAGATGAGAGTGGTTGCGTTTGAGATTGTTGTGGTTGTTCAGGTGAAGTAGTGGAGGATGTGGTGGTAAGAGATGGGGCAGTGGTGGTTGTTGGTGATGGTTGTTCCGACGCGGGGGACGGTGTCTGCTCCATCGGATGGGAGGGAGGCGTGGTGGTTTCCGGGCGTAACCCAAATCAAGAACAGATATCTACATCAAATATCGTAACCCACGTCAAGAAACAGTAACAAAAAACAGAAAAAAACGAAATCGTAAAGCAGAATAGTCGATTGATGACAAAGAGAAGCAAAAACTGCTGATGAAAGTAAAAGAAATAGAAAGAGATGGAAGAAGGACAGGGGAATTTTCCGTACGTTGTATTGGCAAAATAGCCTAATAATTATCAAACAGAAAATAATAAGAAGCTCTAACACCTCCTTCAAGCTCGCGGTTGACTAACTAATCACAGTTTGCAAATAACATCAGAATGTTTAGACCCAGGCTATGATTTAGTAAACACATCTGCACGTTATGACTTTGTTGGTGTAAACTCCACAACGATAACTTTTGCTTGTAGTTGTTCTCTTACATAATAACAATCTAGTTCAATGCATTTTGTCCTTTCATAAAAAACTGGATTGTTTGCTATATGTATGCTTGCTAGATTATCACATTTCAGAGCAATTGAGGTAATGTTCTCTACTCTTAAATCTGTTCGACCATGTAAGCTCAGTTGTAATCCTTCTCATAGATCTAAGTTCAGTCTCAACTGAATATAACGAAATTGTTACTTGTTTCTTTGACTTCCATGATATAGGACTTCCCCCAAAAGAAACAAAGTAACCACTTACTGATCTCCTGGAAAAAAGGACAAAATACCTAATCCGAATCACAATAGGCAGAAAAGTGAAAAATCAGACTTGTCTTTGAAAAAACAACCCACAAGAACCAAACAATTTACAAGTACTTCACAACGTGTAAAGCAGCATCCCAATGAGCTTTTCGAGGGATTTTGATTAAACTGACTGAAGAACTGAACACTAAACGCCAAATCAGGCTGAGTATGAACCAAAAAATTGAGTTTCCTCACTAACTGTCGATATTTGCTCGAATCTTCTAAAGGATTGTGGGTTGGGGTAGGGTGCGGGTGAATGGTGGTTGTGAAGGCAACAATAGTGGTGTTGGAGGTTAGGTTAGGGGCGGGGTGGGTGGCTGGACAGGACGGTGGGGATGGGTGGCAACTGTGACGATGACAGTAGTGGGATGGTGGTAGGGTGGCTGGGAGTGAGTGGGTATGACAACGACAATAATGACATGGTGGTTAGTAGTGGGTTAGGGTAGGGTAGGGTAGGGTATGGTAGGGTGGGGTGGGGTGAGTGGCAGTTAAGATAGCGACAATAATGGTGTGGTGGTGAGGGTTAGGTTAGGGGCATGACAATAACAGTAGTTACATGATCGTAGTAGATATGTGCAGTGAGTGATTGGGGGTGGGTGGGTATGATGACAACAATAGTGGCATATGGTTAGTGGTGGGACATCATGAACAATAGTAGTATGGTCATGGTAGATGGTGATATAATTCAATTTATTTCATTATGCCAAGAAATGATGAATTCATTAACTTGTGGAATTCAATGGAATTTGAAGAATTATATTCATTTTAAAAAATGAACCAAACAAATGAATTGAAATTTAGTCAAAAAAATTGTCATTCTAATTCCATCAAATTCATTCGAATTTCGTGAACCAAACAACCTCTTATTGTTATAAATAAGAGTTTAGCGTGTTTACTAACAGTGGTGAATGTTTAATAATTTTTTTGTTGTTACAAATTTTGTATGACAATTAATGTTTGCTAAATGGTTATGATTGGTTAATAATTTTGTGTTGTTAAAATTTTTCTTCAGCAATTAAAATGTTTTTGAATTGTTACAATTTCGTTTAATTTTATTTGTTAGGGGGTGTTTGGGATTGCTTATTTAAAACAACTTATGTTTTTTTGTAAAAATGCTTATTAACTTATGTGGTATCAAACCGGAGTTTTGTAAAAAGTGTTTGAATTAGCTTATAGCGGTACCAAACTGTAATAAGCTGATAAGTTATTTTTTAGTGTTTGACAAATTTTGCTTATATCTGTAAAATGACCAAAAAGAATAGGGAGAAGATTGATGTTGTTATCTGGAGAAGGGAGAAGATTGAGATCGATGTTATCTAAAGGAAAAGAGATAGGTATAAAAAGTAATAGGGTTAAAATGGTAATATGGAAATAAGCAGTTTTTTATAAGTCAGGACGGATTAACTTATCAAAAACTGCTTATTACCGGTTTGGCACCGGTATAAACAATTTTATTTGTTCTTATCCAAACACTAGGTATTAGCTTATCACCGGTGCCAGACTGAAATAAGCCAATAAGCAGATACAATAAGCAATCCCAAACACCCCCTTAATATTTCAAACTATTTTGTATAGAATTAAAATTGTTTTAAGAATGTATGATTTGTTTTTGAACCATTTAAAAAAATTGACCTTAAGAAATCATATTTTTACATTAGAAAAGATCATTGTTTGGATTTTGGACCTTATGGTGTATCAAAAATTTAAGCAAAAGTAATGTTTGTATAGTAAGAGTTCATTTACTAAATGCCTACCTTATCATGTAGCATTATCGGTCATTAAAATGGATTGTTGGTAAGTGTTTTGAACTCGATAAACGGTTATCGGGTAAAGGTTTTTTTCCTCACTTACCAGATAAGACACTTGGTTTTTGCTACATCTCTTACCGGGTAAGAATCATTTAGTAGATGGTCCATAAGTTTTTTTCTTCTTCCAAAATCTGTCCACTAATGGTTTCAAACATCCACAAGGCCTTTGTTCAACAAAAATCATATATTAACGGTCTGAATCACTTTAAATCAACATATTTATTCTTTTTAAGCTGTTTATATAATACGTTTGTTTGTTTAAGCATGAAGTAAAGAACATAGTTATTAATTATGTTAAAGTACTAACACAATTAAAATATCTAAAACGTCCATTCGATAAAATACTTTGCTTGTACTTTGACCGAGACCAAGCTGGTATTGTTTAGGACACCAAACACCTTTTCGGGCCCTTAACTTGTAGATCGGGCTCGTGTGAGATGCCAACTTAAACCATCATTAATTTCAAGATTATACACTTGAGAATAAAAATTAGAGAACTATATTTATTCGGCATGATAAAATTACAAACCACCATAAAAACACTCCATAATCTAATAACTTTCTTCATCTCTTGCAAGAGGAACATGAGTCCTAACAATGAAGAAGTTTTCATAGATGAGTCCAGCAAGCCCACCACCAATGAGTGGGCCGACCCAATAAACCCAATGATCAGTCCAATCACCAGCCACCAAAGCAGGCCCAAAAGACCTGGCTGGGTTCATGGAGGCACCAGAGAAAGACCCTGCAGCCATTATGTTGGCACCTACTATAAGCCCAGTTAAAAGTGGGCCTAGCCCATCAAGAGATCCCTTTTTAGGGTCCACAAGAGTTGCATAGACTGTGAAGAGCAACGAGAAAGTCAACACAATCTCCATTATCACACCTTGTAAAGAGTCCATTCCAGCTGCAAGTGTATGCACCGGTAGCGCCTGGAAATATTAAAACCTACAAGTTTAATTGCATAATATATAACGGTTTGTTTTTTTTTGAACCAAGCCTAAACCCAAGTTTGATCCAAAAATATTTATGCTAAAATCAAGCTTTCGTCGGGCTTGAACTCGGCTTTGGACTTATTTGGCCTGACCTTTTTAAAGCCCGACTTCGAAGCTCGATTTTTTTTATATATTATTGAACATTTTGCAGAGGGTCTTTGAGAAATATTTATTTTAAGAAAAATATTCAAAGTTGGGATCTCAAAATATTTTATCAAAGTTAAAATTGTAACTTCATATTATGAAGAAATCACCAGAAACCTAGAGGAGATGGTATAATTATATAAGGTTTGAAGTGGAAATCTACCAATCCACCGGTGAGATAGCTGAGGAGAGCACAAGCGGCAACAGAAGCAAGCAACTGATCAATCCAGTAAAGAAGAGATCTAACGACGGTGATGTGACCACCGACCAATAGCCCAAGAGTGACTGCCGGATTCAGATGACCACCGGAGATTCTAAGACCGGCGGATATCGTCACCGCCACCACAAGCGCATGAGCCATGGCCACGAAAAATAGCGCCACCACCTCATTTCCTACCAGCTTTTCTGATAAATTCAACAATTAATCCATGGAAGTTACATCCAACATTCTCGGAAAAGAACTTACAAAAATACCATTCCAATTCGGTCCTTTAGAATGTTCTCCTTAATTAATTAATTTCATTAAATAAGTTTGATTCATATTGCTGAATGTTGATGCATCTCTTGTTTCAATTCAATCACACGTTTCTGATCATAAAACGAAATTGATAGCATTAACGCGATTGAATTAATAAAGGAATTGGAAACTCAATTACCGGTGGTCATGGCGGATCCTACACCAGCAAAGATGAAGATAAACGTGACGATGAACTCAACAATAAGGGCGTGGATGCAGTCGGGTTTTGTGACCTCGTGGATTGAGCCTATGGCGATCTTAGCCATTGTTGAAATCTAGAAGCTTCTGTTGTTACGAATTGAAGGAGGAATTGGTAATAATGGAAGAATTTATAGGATAAATAAATAAAAGAAAAGGTGCATGTATATAGGAATAGGAGGGATGCATTATTTGAGATGAAGTAAGATTCCATTGGCATGCACTGATTGAGACTTGGCACATCCTGACACAATCATGAACTGGTCACATGGTAAGCCCCATCAACAATCTTTCATCCATTCACTGCGTTTATTTTTTTATTTACTAAAATCAGGTAAAACTATGACTATGCATTTGGATTGGATATCCAAGTTAACGTAGAAAAAAAAACCGTGACTTGAATATCCAGGTTAATTATAGAATTATCATAGACATTTTTTTAGTGTATGGTGGTTTTTTTTTACCTAATTATGTATGTATATACGTATGCATGCATGTCAAATTATGTATTGTGGGTTGGATATCCAAGTTAATCATAGAATGAACCAACGGATTAGATATCCAGGTTAATAAAAAAACTGTGATATCCAGGTTAATAAAAATTGTAACTACAAAAATTAATGAATCAGAACTAATATATTTAATTAATACTTAAAGTCCAAAGACATTTTTTTAGTTCATTCTTTCTATATACAGACATGCATACGTATACTCTCTTAATTTCATATAATGATTTTGTTATATATTTAACTCGGGATTGGTTTAACTTTGTGATGAGTTTAATATTTAAAAGTAGGTAGGTATGTGACATATCTAAAAAAAGTCAAATGAAAATGATGTGCAATATTGGTTCCTGTTCAATTAAAGCTAAAAAAAGAATGGCTATCATTTATACATGTTATACATGCATGAAATTGAATTTATACCAAAGCACTCAATTACATGTTGGGATGGAAAATAACTAGCACTTATAATTTAAACCTTAAAACATTGATACGGACCATTATTGATGCAACCAAATTCAATTGATTAATCACTTATGTTATGCGTACTGGTTAAGCCTTAAGAGGGTGTAGTAGGAATCTTATCTACCATGTGTTCAAATCCGGATGTTGTCAAAACCCTTATGGTCATAGAAGTTCATTTATGATAACTCCAGACCATCCAATGGATTAGTCGATGCGTGTAAATTGATCTGAAAACACACGGTTATAAAACAAATTCAATTAATTGACATTTCGAACATCACTCTATGAAAAACAATTGTAAACGTTTTATTTACAAGATTATTATGGTTCATAAGATTTTCTTTTAATTGAAATTTATTTTAAATATTTAATTATAATTTAAACTTGTCATTGAATTAGATGTTAAATCAAATATGTGTATTTTGAAAACGGAAAAAAAATATATATTTGGTTATGGATTTTTCAAAGTGTAAATTATGAATTTGGTTAATGTGGTTTTTGAATTGTTAAGGGGTTAGTTCTTTTCTTCATTTATTACATGATTAACCTAAATCAACTATATAATCAAAGCCTAAGTCAAACTTAGAAACCTCCATTGTGATTATTATCAATGACAATTTTTTTATTAACCTGGATATCCAACCCGCTATGCGAGTCGACTAATCCCAATACGACCACCTGCTTTGTAGATAGTCCGGAGTCACCGCATTTGAACCTCCGTGACCACAAGGGGATTTTATTATCAATGACGTTTCAAGTGAGAAGGAGGAGTCTCCAGCGTTGTAGGGATGACGCCGATGAGTAAAGGGTGAGAGAGAGTGAGGAAAAGGAGTAGGTTTTACGATTTTATTTGTTTTGTTTTTTAAATGATTATTTTTATAAAAAAAATAACAGATGCATGCTTGCATGAGAGATCAGATCCAAGACAAATTATATATGTAAAGGTTATATATGTATTAAACGAAAAAGTGTCAAATACGTGACAATTCATAAAACACAACTAAAAGGAAAAGAAAGAATTAAAGAGACAAGGAAAATGAAGTGGAGGCCATCCATCAAGAATTCTGTACGTACATGAGAGAGACTCGACAAGCTTTTAAATAATATGACAAAAAATTTATATTATATTATAAAGTATTTGATAGAAAATTCTTAACAATTATTTTTATGCATGAAATATTATTTATTGATATATGTTACTTAAAATTCAACATTACAAATAAACTGTATATAAGTACAACTTATTAAAGCTTCATGTTTGAATTTGTGTAACTAATAACAGATAAATATAGTCAAATACAATATAAACATTTCATTTTAAATATAAAAATATAAAATATAATTAGGATAATAATTGAGTTCTAATACAATACTTAATTATTATCTTCATAAAAAATTATATTATTAAACCAAAAATAAAAAAATGAATTAATAAAATATACAAAAAACCAAGAAATTTTAAATAATTAGTTTGCTACTAATATCAATATTTTTTTTCAATTTTTTATGATATATTTACATTTATATATTATTCAAAAATAAAAACATTAACGTTTTCTCAAAACCAAATAAAAATGTATCATAACATCAACTGAGACAAAAATAAATAAAACGAAACATTAAAATTTAGATGTATCTCATTGCATTATACGAATATTTTTCTAGTAATTATTAATAATAACAATTAACAACTTCACATATTTAATTTATAACTAATGTAGGACGAAATATCATATAAATCATAATGGGAATATTGCATTGTCTCATACAAAGGGCGGACCACATAGGTCACAGCTTCGTTTATTCGTTGTTAGGTAAAAAAAAAATTAGAGTCATGAAAGATGTCGTATTATAATGTTTAATGTTATCTTATATGTTTTAAACAACAATATTAACACTAGTTTGTGTTGATAAAGTTGGTCTAGACAGATGCACGTCTAAATCCTATTTCAATCATCTTTTTAGTTTTTAGCTGTTAATTTTACATTTATTATATTTTTAAAAAAGATTACAATAAAATTCTAAAACACACATAACAAGAAAATTTTATATTCAAGTGATTGACACGTGTTATTTGATAATGTTGTGTAAATATATTTAATGCGTTTGTTAGAGATGATAAAATTTGTGTATTATTTTTAATATTTCATGAAATTGGTCACACTAACCCGGACAATCAACGATTATAAATAAATTATAACAGTCATAATTATGCTATGAGTGGATTAACTAGTTTGGACATGATAAAATGGGGTGGAATTGAAATTTAATTCTATATTTTTTCTTTCTAAGAAGTAAAATTTAGGAGCCGTTTACCAAATGTTTACTTGGATAAATGCTTACCAAGTCACATCACTATACCAGATGAATATGGCAATGACCAAAAGTCTTACACGGTAAGAGTGAGACAAAGAACAAGAATCTTACCTGGTAAGTGAATGTGACGGCTCTTACCACGGTAAGAGCTTATCGGGTAAATTTATTGCATACGGTGCCGCTTTGGTGGACTAAAATTTTATCCGATAAGTAAGTAATAATGTTGAATTTTACTGATAGACACTTATCAGGTAAGTTTTTGGTAAACAACCCCTTACGTAACGACATTTTAAAAACACCAAGTCCAAACATATGAGATGTGGGAGCCATTGGTTGCATGCTGATAATAATTATAGTGTTGAGCTTTCGTAATCAAAAACTTTAGTAGTTAGTGGTTGTTTTTTCTATATACCTCTACATCATCCTCTCACCAAAACTTAATCATGCATTCAAGCTCAAAACGAAAATGTAAGTGTAAATCGTGTTTTTATCGAATTCGGGTACAAAATGAGCTTGAAATATATAACTGATTGAGTATACAAACTCACAATTGAATTTTATCGAGTTTGGTATGTATAACCATAGGTTCATTTGAGAAGTAGTAAGTATTTGAAAAGTAGATAAGTGATCCTACTCTTTATCTGGTTAAAATTTGCGGTTTTGACTGTGAAGCACCAAATAATTCCTCATCATGGTATCAGGAAGATAGAGGGGTAGTTTTGTAACTTTTACAAATAGACGGCAAAACAAGTGCATATGTGAACCTATGTGATTTTACATATGAACTATGTGTTCATTTGTGAACCCGTGTAATTCGCTTACGAACCATTTAAAAACGGATTCACATATGAACTAATTAACTAATTCACATATGAAATATGTGTTCGCATATGCATTTGTTTGCCGCCTATCTTTAAAAGTTACGAAACTACTCCTCTATTTTTCGTTTGACCAATCAAAGCCGCAAATTTTGACCAGTCAAATCCGCAATTTTTGACCGTATAAAGGGCTAGGATCATTTCTTTATTTTTCAAATACTTAATACTTCTCAAATGAATCCCTCTCTCTCCCTCTCTCTCTCTCTCTATATATATATATACTAGAAGCGTACTCGCGCAATACAGCGAGATACATCGTGATTTTAATATTTCATTTTATTTTTTATCCCAGTCGATGTTATAATATGACTTAATGTGATTTTGAGAAATTGATGATGTTTTTATTTTTGAATAAAATATATGTTTGAAGATATCATAAAAATTTGACAAAAGTATATCGATAATACTATCAAATTAACTATTTGAAATTTCTCATTTTTTTGTGTAATTTTTTAATTCAATTTTTTCATAATTTAATTTATGTAAGTAATTTATATTTGGTTTATTAATATAATTGTTTTATAAAGATAAATAATTATTTATTTTGTTGGAACTCGATAATTATTCTAATTATATTTTAGATTTTTTATATTTTAAAATTAGATGTTCATCCTCTATTTGATTATGTTTATCCACAGTTATTTATACAAATTCAAAATCGAGCTTTAATAAGTTGTACTTATGCATAATTACTTGTAATCTTGAATTTTAAGTAATATGCATCAATATACACTACTTTATGCATAACAAAAATATATCGATATTCGTATCAAATTAATTATTTAAAATTCCTCATTTTTTGTGTAATTTTTTAATTCAATTTTTTATTATAATTTAATTTAGGTA